TTTGTGTGATCAAAATAAGAATAAGAGAAATCAAAACGAAGCCTTGTTTTCAGCTTTTTCTGTAGAATGTAGAAGAAAGGTAGATTCTTGGTATCTCGCTTCAGGGTGTTCAGCTCACATGACACCAAATAGAAATATATTTCATACGAAAAGAGAAGCAGCAAAATTAACAATAACTACTGCAAATAATGAAGAAATGTCAACTCAGACAGTAGGTGATATCATAATATAGGTAAATGGGAATAAAAATAAAGTTGACATTGACATAAAAGACATATATTATGTTCCAAACTTGAAAGTTAATTTACTGTCTGTTAGTCAGATTGTTGCCAAAGATAACAATGTGATTTTCAATCAAAAAGGTGCTAAAATATATAAAAGTTATTGCAACAGCCAGTTTATGCAACAATTTGTTTAAATTGGATGTCAGTTCGCAACAGACAGCCTCATTGTCAGAAGCAAGTGAGAAAAAATGCAATTTGTGGCACCGCAGGCTAGGACATGTGAATAGACTAAATCTTCATAAAATGAGTAATGGTCTTGTTCATGGTGTTGATTACAAAAACAAATCTGACTTTGTATGTGAAAGTTGTGTGATTGGTAAAATGCACCGATTACCTTTCAAGGATAGTAAGACAGAATCATCAAAACCTCTGGAGCTAGTACACTCTGATATATGTGGACCAATGCAAGTGGATTCACTTTTTGGCTCAAGGTACATATTTACACTTCTGGATGATTATACTCACTATATCTTCTCAAAAATAAAAGTCAAGTCTCAGAATATTTTAAGAAATTTCAGAATTTTGCAGAAAATCAATCAGGGCAAAAATTAAAAATACACGTACCGATAATGGAAAAGAATTCTATAATGTTGAGCTTTCTCGAATTTTAGAAAATGCTGGAATACATCAGCTTATAGTTCCTTATACACCTGAACAGAATGGTAAAGCCGAGAAGTTAAATCGTTCAATTCTAGAAAAAACCCGTTGTCTTCTGGTAGAGGCTGATTTACCATATATTTTTTGGGCAGAGGCAGTAAACACATCTGTGTACTTACTCAATTAAATTCCTAGTCGATGTGTTGAAAAGACACCATATGAACTCTGGACTGGAACAAAAACAGTGTTGCTCATTTAAGAATTTTTGGATGCAAAGCATATGCACACATTCCGAGCCAAAACAGAAAGAAATTGGATCCGAAAGCAATTCCAAGTATCTTTGTTGGTCGAAGGCATGCAGGCTTTATGATCCACTAAAAAACATAGTATTTGTATCCAGAGATGAACAATTTGTAGAACAAGAGAAAGGTAGCATACTTTTGGAAAAGAACAACACAGAAGAGGAACAAAAACATTTTTTTCTTCTTTGATGAAGCTGAACAAGAACCAGTAGAAGAAGAAAATGGTATGGAAGATAATTATTCAGAAGAAGAGAATGATTCAAAAAAAATTTCACTAGAAGATAACCGAGAAGATAATGCAGATCCAGATTACCAAATAAAAGAAGTAGAAATTAATAATTTAGATCCAGTTGTAAGACCACAGAGAGGTTTCTAAAACATTAAAATATTATGTTACATACATAGCAGTTATTAACACAGAAGAAGAAGATTCTATTGATGTTGGTGAAACTCTCAATCGTTCAGATGAAGAACAATGGAAAAAGGCTATGCGAGATGAGTATGATGAACAAATTGAAAATGGCACATGGGAATTAGTCGATCTTCCAGCAGACAAAAAAACCCTTAAAAGTAAATGGATGTTTAAAACCAAAATGGAAGAAAATCAATAAGGCTCCATTAGTCATTAAAGGTTGTGCTCAGAAAAAAAGACATCGATTTTGAGGAAACATACTCACCAGTAATTCGGTATACTTCAATACGATTTTTTTAGCACTAGCTGCTGAAGAAGATTTATATATAGACCAATTGGATGCAGTCACAGCTTTTTTACAAGGAGAGTGTGACGGAACTAGCTATTACCCCTTTTTGGGCTTTAGTCAAACCGCACCAGGGATGCCAAAAGTTTTTACTTTGACTGACTGTAAATATTAACCACTAGGTATTGGATCATTTAAGCCTTGTATTGGGTTAGGGGTGCCTTGATTCTTAATCAAATAAAACTTTGAAATAGAATAATTAACAATTTAATTTATAAATGAAAGTAATTCTGTTTAGTCAGCAATCAAATCCTATCTAAAAATTCCTAATTGGACGTCCAGTCGAACTACAAATTTTAGACTAATCCAAAGCAAAGTTTCCTAAAGTAAGTATCTTGATTTTTGAAAAGTAGGGAACTCTGATAATGATAATAACATCATTTATGGTTAAATGTTCAATGAACGAGAACACAAATTAAATAATTAAATGCACGAGAGCACAACATAAATAATTCGTCAACTTCAATCAGTTCACTGTAATCACAAAATGTTTATTGATCCTTGAAAGTTCTTTTATTTATTGAGAGTTAACAATTTGAGCACTTTTCTGCGAAAGTCTGTAAACAATATGTGCAAGAAAAGTCTTTCATATATGCTCAGTTTCTATATACAAATGTACAAATGTTAATTTCACGAGTGTGACAACCAAATTTCTGCATTAAACGTTAGGAAACACTTCAATTTATAGTGCATTTCAAGCGAATCACTAATCAGTATTTATTGACTTATTGTTCGACTGTTAGAGAAATTGTAACGGTCTCACTTGCTTAATCCGGTTCATACAGATAAATCCACAAGGCGATTATTTATCCATTTATCACTATTCTCACTAGCAGCTAGGGAATTTTCCACTCAGATGAAAACACAACAATATACAGGCTCGTTGGAGCCCGTCGAGAGTGAGAGAGAGAGCCAAAAGACAAGCGCGTACGAGAGAATTTCGCTCGTCCGAGGTGACTTGCAAAAATTAGGGGTTAATTACATGAATTGTAATCAATAATATAGACCATGTCAGGCCTTGAGACACAGAGAGTAGTATTTTACTATAAATCGCGCGTACTAGCGGGGGTTTTGGGGGTTTTGCTCCTGGGGAGCATTCGGAGGGCGCGAGGGTGCGAACTCTTCGCTTATTCTAATGTTACTGAAGAATTTGCGTCGACTAGACTCTGCCAGGGGAGCAGGTCGCAAAAACTAGGGATTTTGTGTGGCGGCTGACCAATGACAGCGGCGGAACAGGTTCACTACCTTATAAGGTAATGAAGAAACCTGCAATTTCACCGATTCAAAGGGTTGTTGTTGCCGGTTTTACAGGATAAATAGTCCAGCAATTTCATCTATTTTTAGAATATCATTTTAATGGTAAATAATAGAGAAGAAAATTATATTAAATTAGATATGATAAAATTTAAACCTGTTGTGGGTTTTTTCCGCAACAGAGAGTTGACTGAAGAAATCTATATGAAACCTCGAGAATATTTTGATAAAACTGACAGAGTTTGTAGTTTAAAAAAGTTCAACTATGGATCAAAGCAAGCAAGTAGAATGTGGAATCAAAAGTTGGACAAATATATGAAAAATATTGGTTTAAAGCAAAGTCATTCAGATTATTGTATATATTATAAAATTAATGAAAAAGTAAAACTAATAGTTGGAATTTATGTGGATGATATTATTCTTTTGTCAAATGACCAAAAGGCAAAAGAAGAACTGAAAAATCAACTACTCAGAAATTTCAAAATGAAGGATATTGGAGAACTCAAACATATACTGGGTATGCAGATAACAAGGGACAGAAAACTAAGAAAAATATGGATTGATCAAAAAGCTTATATTGAAAAAATACTCAGGAGGTTCAATATGAAAAATGCAAACCCAAGTTAGTTGGAGAAAAGCTAACCAAAGAACAATCTCCAAAGACAGAAGAGGAGATTGAAATAGTGAAAAGCAAACCTTATGAAGAAGCTGTAGGAAGTTTGCTATTCGCAGCACAAATCTCTAGACCTGATATATGTTACGCAGTCAGTAGTGTCAGTCGTTTTAATCATCAACCAGGACCTGCACATTGGGCAGCAGTTAAGCGTATCCTCCGTTATTTAAGGAGTACATTAAAGTACAAGCTGGAATTTAATGGAGTAAAAGGTCAAAATTCAAACATTTATGGTTATTGTGATGCTGACTGAGCAAATGACCTATCTGATCGAAGATCTATTACAGGCTACATTTTTATGGAAAATGGTTCACCGATATCATGGAAGAGTAAAAAACAGCCTACTGTAGCGTTGTCTACAACAGAGGCTGAATATATGAGCATGGCAATGCTAGCACAAGAGGCCCTATGGTTCAGAGGTCTCAGTAAAGATTTTAATTGCACTGAAGAACCAATATTGTTATATGAGGATAACCAAGCAGCACAGAAATTGGCACTAAATGGGGGTTATCAATCCAAAACGAAGCATATAGATGTTCGTCATAATTTCTTGAAAGAAAAAATGAATAATGGAATCCTTGAGTTAGAATATGTGCCAACTCAGAAGATGTTAGCTGATTCTTTTACAAAAGCATTGGACAGAGTAAAATTTATCAACTGTGTCAAAAACCAAGGACTTATTTCAAATAGGGAGGGTGTAGAAAATAATTTGCAGTGAGCCACCAGTGCTATTTGTGTTTTGTCCCCGACTACTTTTTTAAGGACATTTGTCATTAAGTTGTCAATATAGTGGTCATGATATTTTTTTTTTTGTGTGCCTCGTGTGTATCAATTAAAGTTTATTCGCTATTAGTTGGGGCTTCATTTCCGTTAAGTCATATCAGTTTTCATAAATAATTCCGATCACTGAAGCAATAGACTTGGAAGTACAGGTTGAAATACATTTATTTTACGAGCTCTCACTAAGGTTCATGTGAGCGGCAAAGGCTCTAATAGTTATCATATGCTCCGTAACCTAGAGTAAAACCGTACAGATATAATGATATTGTCCTTAGTAGATGAGATATGTTATAATAAATCAAAATTTCTGTGCTAGTGATTTTTTATTTTAAATCAAATCTTTTTATTTCAGTCATGAACAATTACCAAGCTGCTGCTGCAGCCCAGGGCTTTGGTCCGCCAGCATCTCCTCATGCAGCTGCCGCTGCAGCTGCCCAGGGAGCTCAACGGGCGTTCCCAGCTGCATCTAGCCCAGGTCCAGCTTTGGACATGTACAACAGCAGCGGCGCTGGTCCTGGCGATAGCGTTGGCTACGTACAGGCTGCCAGTCCCCAGCCGTCCAGCTTTCCGGCTATCGCCGTCAGTCGGGCGCCACTAAACTACAGTCCGGTGAGTCTTAAAGTAAGCACCCTCAGATTTTCTTCTTTTGGTATTTAGATGGTGGTGGTTTTTATAATGGTTCTTTAAATTTTCGTTGCAACGTGAACAGAAACATTTGGACAAGTCACAAGTGGATTATTTTGCTCGTATTGATTTTGAATGTGACGCATAATTAAAGAGTCATTGTGGGGATCTTTCGGATCCATGTCTAAATTTAGCCGTTGAAGTAGAAAACAACAAAAATTTGGGATTGCTTACCTTAGTAACTAGTAATTGATTTCAGTCAAAGTTGCAATATGGAACTCTATTTCATGTCAGACATTTGAAAAATATATTTTGACATATAGAAAGTAAACCATAAAAATGAAACTAATAAAATCTTCCAATAAAATAAAAATTACTTGAGTGTCACGTACAAAACATTCATTTATATCAATGCATAATAGTTTTTCCAGCGCTAACGATCGACAGTAAAAAAAAAGTATAAATTTAATCTATCTTTAGAAAAGGCGGCCATAAACATGCATTAATGAAGATCTGCATAATCGTTAAAACGAGACTAGTAATTAACCAATAATGGAATTCTATTACCCGGTGCTGCTATTAGAGTAGTTTTTTACATTGTTTTGTTATTCAATTACTAGTCTAATTTTGTAACTTTTGCTTTAGTTTGGCATTTTCAATTAATTTGACATACCTAGTTGAAATAATCAACAAACAAATTAATAACGTAAAAGTGAATGTAGAAGAAATTAGTAGAAATAGAATACTGCGTTTATATTATTTTTTATTTTGGCGTGATATAACATTTTTTCTAAATTTAGTTGCAGACTATACCAAGCGACGGAAAGTTGGCCACAGTATCCCTATATACAACAACTAACGCAGTATCGCCCTACATTCACTACTAAAAGAATGAATAAAAATGTAAGCAAATTTCCTTTATAATTTAATAAAAAATTGCATGTACATTTTCAAAATTACCTTTTGATTGATCAAGCCTAATTATTATGCAAATTTATACACATTAAATGGAAATAGCAAAATTGTAATTATTATCCTAAATGGTATTATTGGTACATTTCAATTTGACCATAAATAACATTTAGGTAATATTTGTGGATTGGTTTAGGTTGGGAATTAGATTTACGGGCATGCTGAAATTAGAGGTACTAAATATTTATATTTTATCCTATTATTTATATATTAAAACAAGGCATTTAGAAAATATTACTTTCGAATCGTATTTCTCGCATTATTTGAATTTTTTATTCATACAATATTATTTTATTGAGAGCTCATACTTAAATACCTTTTATCTCCATAATTAAATACGATCGTCATTTTATAATTAAAAATTTTTGGTCTGGAATTCTATATAAGTTATGTGTTCATTTCACATTCCGGGTAGATGAAATAGAGAACTCGCTGTCTATAATTATCATGCGTCTTTTGTTAATCTCTTTCTTATTATGTGCCCCAGATTGACGTTTATTAATTTCTGCCTTTCAAAGCTGTTTTCCATTGACAAATAATATATCGTCATAGGCAAAGCAACATTCCTGGCTTGTTGCGTATGTGAAACTATCTCAATTATCATCGACCATTCATGACGACGAACACTGTGATAGAATCTTACAGATCGTACTATCTACAGAGAACTCCTAAACCTCAAGTTGCAAAACATTATATTAGACCAAATACAACCCAGCCTCTCTCAAATGAAGAAGGGCAGGTTAGAAGTCGGAATTATGGCCGAAATGATAAATCTGGATTGCTAACTGAGAAATCGTAAAAATCATTTTGAACCAACGTTTTTGATAATTGCAAAATAACACAAACATGGCAGAATGCTTAGCGATAGATAGATAGATTCTTTATTCGATCATGTTTATAATTACAAAAGTAGTAGAAAACATTTTACCCAGAGGGTGTTGATCATGTCCAAATAAAAGTATTAAACTTAAATCCTAAAAACATTCAAGACAAAAACAATTAATTTAAGATAAAAAAAATACACCTTACGAATAAGTACTTAGCTGAAGTCTGCTCTTTCCCCTCTTCCAGGGTCAGCACAGGGAGAACATATTTATCTAGGCCCTTAATAAAATTTTATGTATGGAGGTAAATTACAATTTTGAAGTTGAGTTGAAATTCGGTTGATAACTTTTTGACAATTCACTGAATGACTTTACCAATTTATAATTGGTATACAATTATTTAAAATAATACCTTAAAAACTAAAAAGGTGATAATGTAGTCTACTACATAGACCTTTCTCTCAAAAAAAATAAAATATTACTAATGATGATAATAATAAGAATAAATAATAAAATAAATCAATTAATGAATGAACCTTTTGAATATTTCCATGAAATCTTCTTTTGTTAAAATTTACTGGTGTTTTAGAAAAAAGAACATCAAACGACTCAAAATAATCAATATTATAATTATCAAAATATGCTAGCTTCAGTCGATCAATCGATACAGTTTTATTCTTATTATTAATATCTATTGGATCATTTTTTACGATGACTTTATGTGGACCTGAATAAACACGCTGTAGAGGCTTCCGGACCATATCATTACGAAGAAAACCATAAGTGGAATACAAGTCTTTAGATATGAAAACTTTTTATTACAGACCGGCCTGTCAACCGTGAGTTTAATTTTATTCATAAAATTTTTCAATTCATAAATAAACGTAGACGAGTCAATACTATTATTTGTGGATGAATTAAAAAAATCGTTTGGTCAGTTAATAGCTGTTCCGTAAACCATTTCTGAGGCCTAACAGCCTAAGTCCTCTTTGACTGTAGTAGTACGGAGACCAAGTAGAACCAATGGTAAAAATTCGACCCATTCATTTGTTATATCTGTATAACATTTCAAAGAAGTTTTCAACGAACGATGGAATTTTTCCACAAGACCGTTACCGATAGGCGCAAGAGCGAATCCTCGTGATACCTAAAAACTGAGTTAATTCTTTAGAAAACCTGTTTCAAATTGTCTACCTTGATCCGTCATCTAGAAAATCTATTGATACAAGTTAAAATATATCTTAAACCTTGACATGTTGGTAAAGGACCTACTATATCTACATGAATATGAAAAAACCTAGAGTCAGGTAATTAAAAATCTTGTAAAAGTATGCTTTGTCTCGTTAACACTTAGGCAACTCATGCATGATTTAACCCGGCACTGGATATCTTTTTTTTATGTTAGGCCAGACAAAACGTTCACAAATATGTCTCTGTGATGCTCTTATTATTACTCTGTAGTTAGCAGAACGCGACCTGACCTATCTGCGCAGACCCTCAAAGACATCAAAGAAAACGTCCAGATTACCCTTAGGTGACCTATAAATACAAACAATGTATTAATGCTCACAGTTCGATATGGCGTTCAATGCAGTGATCTCTAAGGCAACCCAGTTCTTCATAGTCATTCAGCTCGCTTCTTGTAAAGATACACACCCCGCCATGCTCATTTATTGAGCGAGAGTAGATGTAGCTAAGGTATTGCCCTTGAGCTTGATGAAGTCGGTTTCTTCTATCTTCAGCCAAGATTCTGATATGCAGATAATGTGTTGATCTGGTGCTTTCGTATTAAGGCTCAGCGAAAAATTATTTGGGGTGGGTTGATAGTTTAATAAATACAGAATGGCAAGGGCGCCACTGAATTTTGTTTTTAAATTAATAATAAAATTGCTTAAAATATGGTAGAGGTTATATTTAAATCAGATTAATCAAGCTTAAAAGGATTAAATAATAGTATAACAATGCACCTCAATATACTTGCCATATAAATTCATTAACAGTCGCTGGCCATATCATTATCAGGAAATGCAAATATAAAAGATTCAGGTTACCAGAAAACTAATTAAAAAAATTGAATGATTGGAAAATTGTATTGATAAATATGGTCAGCTTCTGCAAAAAAAAAATTAAAAAAAATCAATTTGTACCTGTAAAAAATCAAAAGTTGGGTTATATGTATAACAGTTAAATGGTCTAGAGACATAAGGGAAATCCTCCAATACATAAGTTATAGGACCTCGGGCTAAAAACTGATCAATTGTGGACGTTAGGCTCTTACTCAACAATTTCAAATTTAGAACATGTTGTCCAACCTTAACTTTTGTTCAGATTACTTATCGATTATTATTGATAAAAATGATAAAATATAGGGCAATAATAGAAGTTATGTAAAGACAAATCCATAATAAATTGGATAAATCGAAAGTTAATTGTCCACCATCGCCTCTGTGTCAAGAAAAGAGATTTTAAAGGTGTATGAAAATCATATAGAAAAAAATATCTCAATTTTGTTGATTGACTATAAAACTAATTTTATCAAAGAAAAGGTATTAGAAGTTATTATTGAAACTTTATACAAGCCTCCATTCCAACATTTCCAACATAAGGCAGAGCACGGTAGCCATCCATTCTCGATCATTTGACCAAGAAACTGCACTTGGAAGTTGCAGATTCTAGCCTAGAATCAAGGTAGATAAAGGACTAGAAGTTCTCAGTTGTCGTCAAATGTGGGGCTAACGTATCGACTCGTGAGGGTCTTGATTCTTGCAGGAATCCCGTCGAAAACTCTATGCCACACTCCACGGAAATGGTGTGCTTATTGAAAATGTGCCCTTTTTGGGATAGATTTGTTGGGAGAAACGGCTCTTCGGAAGACCCACGAAGGGTTTTTAAATTTAAACTTAAATAAAATGGTAATCACAAGACTTTTAATTCAATTTTTTTTTTGCAATCAACGGATAATTGCCTCACGCAACTTTATTTCGTTAAGATAAGATAATGGCTGAAGGCCGATAAGGTACTTTATTTTTCCACGGCACGGTTGTCTCGAGAAGATGGCGATTTTCAGCCGATCGACTTTGCAGCTCGACGACACAATTAAAAAAAAAAAAAGAGAATTGAAATGGACAAGGTGAGCAGACATCGCCTCCTCTCCGAACAGTCAACGGAAAAGGTTGATACCAACCGGCACGTCAAATTCAA